GGATAGTTGAAAAAGTAGTAAAGGGGGTAGGGGTGGGGAACCCCCCCCCCCCCCTGAGATGACCGGCAGTTTTCTAATACAACTGGTATTCTGCCAAAAAAAAAAATAACTATGTGATTTATTGGTGTTGAAGAAGAGCAAGAGATGAGTGCACCCCCTCCTAAAAAAAATACTGGATCCGCCCCTGTCATCCTCGCTTCACTTAAACCGAAATTAAAAAGAGTATAGTAAATCTCGTAAATGATTATTCGTCAGTTTGACGTCAACTTAAAAAATACTAGAGAACGAAAGGTAACGTTAAAAGGAGAACAATACTCGCACTCTGACAATTATCAGAATTATATTCTTTTTATTTGTCGTCAGAGAAAAATGGGCCTTTGTAGGTTTAGTCAGCAAAGTCCAATACGATAAAACAATATTGGAAAGAATTGGGAAGTCGAAACATGTTCTGGTTTATTCACAAGCAAATATATTTGTTCTAAATTAAGCCTAACGTTAATAACATTGCACCTCTGAGATGCACGGTGGCGGAGTATTATAATTAAGTAATATATTTAGACTGTAAAGAACAAATCAGCGGGGGCGGGAGGGGGGGTGTTATTTTACGACCCACCCTTTGCCGCATGATTAGTGCACCTCAAAGATATGCGGAGAAGGAAATGCATCGAGCCTTGGTGACCTTATTTCTAGGGAATTTTCTACAATGATCTACAATAAGGGCCGCGAAGAGGGAAGGTCTAAGGGGGCTTTAGCCCCTTAGCCTCCTGGCCCCCAACACTTTTTAAGATGGGCATGGTTGATTTCAGGTCATCAGGTTTTATAACTTAAAATAACGTCAGTTTCAAGTTTCTCAATAAAATGCTGACCTCTTTGCAAGTCTTTTCATTCCTTTTATTTGAGACTTTTAAAGCCATGGCTTGAGACATCTGCTTTCAAAGTCTGTTACTGAAAGGACGCTTAGATTTTCGACTGCAAAATAGTGGATCTCTGACTAAAACACCACACGGGTACATACCGGTAACATGCGAGTAACACAAGGACAACATACGGATACCTACAAGTAACATACGGATGGATACGAGTAAAATACGGTTAAATACGAATACATACGAGTAACATATGGGTAACATACAGATACATACAAGTATAACATGCGGATGCATACGAGAGACATACGGATACATACGTCTTTTTCATTTTTTAAAATAATTTTCAATTTAAGAAACTTTGAAAAGTGTAAATGAAGTAAACCATTAAAACATTCATGAGACAGTTTCAGTTTCTCAAAATGTAACTTACGTAATTCATATCAGATACGACTGAAATTTTTCTCGTCGAGTGTTGTAAAAGGAAATATTTTTTAACACGAGAAGAGAAATTTCGTATCTCTAAGCGGCCATGGAATGTTCTATTTATTATATAAACACCAATGACCAATTTATTACGTAGCCATAGCAACGGTGATATTTCACGTGTGAAGATAACATGTTTTTTTCACTTATGAAGATATCAAGTTTTCGCGCGAAAGTTCACCTGGTATTTCATTGGTGTTCAGTTATATAAAGAAGGATAACATACGAATACATCTGTACATACAAGTAGCCTAAGGGTGCATATGAATACATAGGGGTGGTAGCAGTAGGGAGATGTGAGGTACCTTGACGAGTTTAAGAAATTGTGTGATATGAATAACCGCTTAAGTTATATTTTAAGAAACTGTTGAAAACTGTTATAAATGAATATTTCAATGGTTTGCTTCATTTACACTTGAAAATTACTTAAACTGAAAACTATTTTAAAAAATGAAAAAGGCATTCGTATGTTCCCCGTATGTTACTCGTATGCATTGGTATTGTTACTTTCATCCGTACGTTACTTGTACGTAACTCGTATGCATTGGTATTGTTACTTTCATCCGTACGTTACTTGTACGTAACTCGTATGCGTATTCGTGTGTATCCGATCCGTATGTTACTCGTACCTATTCGTATGTTACTTGTATGTTACTCGTATGTATTCGTATGCATCCGTATGTTACTTGTATGTTGCTCGTTTTCGTATGTATCCGTGTGGTGTTTTAGTCAAGAAATAGTGACGCTATTAACAACTTCGTACTATCTACTTTTAAATGAGAGACGCGACCGTGCACACAAAAAATTCTTCGAAAAAGCTCAAAATTCCGTGAAAAAAGGAGTTTACTTCTTAAAAATGAGCAGGTCTTCGTAGTAAACACAACTGGGTTATACTGCTGATACGTAGATTATAATTTCTGAGCTGTGTTCACGGCGTTCCCTGTACATATCCATTTCTAGAATATCCAAGTTTCTTCTTCCCGAATCCCTAGAATTTCCGTCCCCCATATCTGCATGCACATTGTCATATTCTGATTCGACACCGTTACCATTCGCATGCGGCAGCAATATGTGTCCTCTGTGTTCTATGAAAGTGAACCATGCCTGATGATCTCTGGGCCCTTCGATAGAGTTTGCGTTCCCCATAAAAGCCTTTCCGTGCTCATCACAGTAGAGATGCTGCTTGGTCTTTAGTGATTTAAAAGTGACTAGAGATTCAAATCCATTATTGATCTTCTCGATGAGAAAGAATTATTTGTTATTTCTAGGAAACTGTATCAATTTCTGTAGACAGAAAAAATTGCGATTAAATGCATACTAATGTAAGTGTAAGAGCGGAGTTAAGTTCACAGCTACCAGTCCAGTTTCTGTATGGTATTCACGTACCAATCATTTCGACTAAATTAAGTCGCTATCGTTACATTGTAGCAGGTGATAGAAACCATTTCATTAGGGATCCGAAAGGGGTACATTGAGTACCGGAATAGCTATTTTTGCACCGGGAAGTATGACATTGGGACACTGGAAAAAAAACAAGACAAACTAAGGCCGGAAAAGGTTATGCTAACTGCGCATGCATCACGCATGCGCCTTTTGTGTATGGCTCATATCAGTTAGAGGAATAGCAAGCAGAGATCTTCATTAGTACATGCATTGTTCAACTTACATGAAGTTTGACTCCGCCGCTGTCGTTTACACACAGATAGTAATTTTTTCCCCTCGCACGGTATCTCAACACATTCGCCATTTCCTCCTGACTCTTTTCCACGAAAAATACTAAAAGAACAATTGGTACAACTGGATAGAAGAGGCTCAAACAGCCTTTTTACTTATAACCTAGAATTAGTCGGATGATATATCATTGCAAAATGTGGATTAGAAGCTCGGCCCCAGATAATGGTCGGGTATAAAGGGACGCAGGACTACTAAATATAAGCCTCTGACGTCATTATTTAATATAGACCAGATCGGAATAGGCAAGCGAACCCCAGGTTTTTCCCCCACCTTTGACCAATTTTGACATTAACTTCCGGGAATTCAAATGAGTGAAAATGCGGCAGTTTGGGTTCCATTGAACGAAAATCAAATCAGCTATTCTGAAAACTGAACACGTCACACAAAAATGAGCAAATCAGTTCTCGAATCAGCGCGAAAAGAGAGCCACAGTAAGTTCTGTGGGACTCGCGTCGGTCAGAATAATACCGCATTGCGCACTATAACGGATACAATTTAGTTCTAATTTTTTTTCTAGATTCACATACATATATGCTTGCAGTAGCTTTTCAGTTATTCAAGCTACACTACCAATCAACGTTGTCTTTTGTTGCTGATAGCTCAGTACTTTTCCCACAACAAGAGTGCGCTTTTCAGTAAATTCGAAGTAGCGATCTGACCAACACTGTTACCGCTCATTACGTTTGTTAGAGTGGATTTCCCTTCGGGTAATTTTTACAAGCGTAGGCGCTTATTACTAGACGTGCGTAAATAATATAGAGGCAGTGGATGAAAGGTCGCGCGTAAACGTGGAGGTAAAACTCGCTCAACTTTTACGTTTACGCGCGACACTTTATACTTGCCTCGCGATTTCTTTACGCGCGTAAAATCTACGTGCTTACGTACCTCGTACGTAAAAATTACGCGACAGTGGAAATCCACCTTTGAATGCATCTTCTAGGAGAACTGTTGCATGAATACCTGTTTTTGGATCACTAAAATCAGTTCCCGTGAAGTCCACCAGCATATCCGATCGTTCTTTGATACTGCGTGAGGTTTTTCTTCTTGTATGAGCCCTCAAAAGGCTACCAGTATTCTCGCCTCTTTGACTTCTTCTTACGATTGACTGAATCGCGTAACAGCTGGTTACTTCTCTCTAAAGTATAGTGAAACAAATAATTGGATCAGTAAAGAAACCAAAATATTTCGTCAGTTAACAAAAAATCTGCGGCACAGGATCATCAGTGTTTGCGAATCAGCCGTGCTGATACGAATAAAGACAAACCAGCGTTCCTTAAGCCAAGCAGGCCAATCGCATTGAAAAGCCTTTGAAAAGTAGGAGACCCTTGCTAAGTACTGAGAAATAGAAAAGCATTTCCGAAAATCAAGGAAACATTGAATCTTTACCGAGCTTGGGAGCGAAATTATGATTTGTGAGGAGGACGGATGCGTCGTAGAAAGTCGTAAACAAGGTTGCTGAAAGCTTATTGATCGCGAGTTTCTGCGAG